ACCCGTGAGCGGAACTCGGCGGCTCTCACGTAGGGGCAAGTCCCCTCTACACAGGAGCTGCTGGTGGGTCTAGACATGAGAAGGCTTGAGAAGGCGATTTACGGCTCTCGGACCTCGACGAGCAATGATGAGGTACCGACCGCCCTTGAAAGTAGCCCAGATCAATCTGCATCATACGATTGCAGCCTCGGCTGTAATTGCAAGCAGGTTTTCGACGGACGATCTGGGCATATTACTTATTCAGGAGCCGTGGACTTACAGAGGCCAGGTAAGGGGCCTCAAAGGAGCAAGAAATAAGGTAATATGGGACCNAGTAAGGGGTCTCAAAGGAGCAAGTAATACGGTAATATAGGACCTCTCTGCTGAGAAAACAATATTGATTATTTTTGCATTACAGAGTTCCTAACGCAAGATCTAGTGGCAGTGCAGGTGACACTTCGGGTGGACGGAAGACCCAAGGACCTAGTCTTCCCTGCCGCTTATTTTCCGGGGGATACCAACAACATACCCCCTGTAGAGGTAAAACAACTGGTGACGAACTGCAGAAAGGCCCGACTTCCACTAATCCTCGGCGCTGATGCGAATGCTCACCACGTAGAGAGGGGAAGTTCCGACGTTAACAGAAGGGGTGAGTCGTTACTAGAGTATATATTGAGTGAAGATCTGAGCATAAATAATGTGGGACATAGCCCGACATTCATCACTAGAGTAAGGCAGGAGGTCCTTGACCTGACCCTCAGCAACAATATGGGTAACGATCTGGTCATACAATGGAGGGTGTCCACGGAGCCTTCCATGTCTGACCATAGAATTATCCAATTCGTGCTGGTAGCGGAGGTCAAGGCTTACGCACCAATGAGGAACCCCAGGAAAGCCAACTGGGACAAATATAGAGACCTTTTAGCTTTAAACCTACCGGGTTTAGAGAGAGAGCATAGAAGAGAGGGCTGTATTTCGCTAGAAAATAAGGTTAACAGGCTAACGGACATAATGACCGACGCCTTTAACTACAGCTGCCCCGAGACCAAACCAAATGTGGTGAACAAAACCGCGTGGTGGTCAAGGGAGCTCTCAGCACTCCGGAACGAGGTACGCAAACTCTTCAACAAGGCCAAGCGTACGGGAGGCTGGGATGAGTATGCAGCTAAACTAACGATCTACAGCAAGGAGATTAGGAAGGCGAAGAGAACCAGTTTCAGAACCTTCTGTGAAGGTATTTCGAATACCCCAGCAGCTGCGAGGCTACACAAGGTTCTAGCTAGAGGAACGGTGGGAACGGAACTTGCGCTTAAACGCAGTGACGGCACCTACACTAGAAGCTTGGAAGAGAGAGCTACCACTCTGCTTGGGGCACACTTCCCGGAGGCCACTCCCATTGATCTGGAGCCAGAAAATGAGCGGACCAGGCCGCGACCATCTGATTGGAAACTGGCCTGGAGTTTATTCACCCAGAATTCAGTCGGGTGGGCGCTGCTCTCGTTTGAGCGATTTAAATCTCCAGGGGTGGATGGCGTCCGGCCAGCCATGCTGCAACAGGGTGGAGAGAACCTAACACTGCACCTTGGGTTCTATCCCCCTTCTATGGAGCCTAGTAGTGGATGAACTCCTCCAGCTTCTCTGGCAATGGCATCCGCTGCCAAGGCTATGCGGACGATATAGTGATCACAGCCAGAGGGAAGTTTGAGAGCACACTCTGCGACATCGTTCAAAGAGGCTTAAGATTAACAAAGGAATGGTGTGCCAAATTAGGGCTGAGTATAAACCCAGATAAAACCGCCATCGTTCCATTCACTAGGAAAGGGGCCCTACCGAGCATGAGGGACATTACCTTGGATGGGGTCGTGGCCAATATCGCCAGCGAAGTGAAGTACCTAGGACTAATCCTGGACACTAACACCGATTGTCGATTATCGATGCTATTGTGAGTGTCGCTTAGTCGTTCAATTAGCGACTGTGAATACTTTTTGATCGCTCATCCTTCTATTGCTGTTTTTTAGTCGTTCGGGTTTGCGTTTATAAAATTTACATAAGAAAGTGTTACTATAATGGATAAAAAGTAAGTCAATTAAACTGGAAGATGTAAAAGATTTTGAAATATACATATGTATGTATGTGTCTGAATTACAGATCAAAAATTGAAAGCAACAAAAGGCGACTTGCACGGTCGTTCGAGCTGATGCAAGAGAATGAGGACATAGGCAAAGGAATTTTCGGAAAGAGTAGGGGCGATATGCAATATATCTTGTGCATATAACTCCGGCTACGTCATCCAGTGTTTTTGCGCAGAACCAACAAAGCTTCCGAAAAACTGGATAATTTATTAATTAACTAGTGCTCGGAAATTTGAAATCTTTATTTTAAATTAAAGTTTAATTCTTTCACTACATTTTTATGTTAAAGTTTTTAAACTCGGGTCACGCGTTGGGACAAATACCCAACATCATTGTACAAATAGCTTAACCGTACCGTATTTCTTAAACTTCCATAAAGTTTATTAATGAGGAAAACAGCTTTTCCTGCAAATCCTGTAAGACCTACAAACCGTGAAGCATCTGGAACGTAACTTCTATTCATAAGATTCACGTACATACACTTCATCTTCCAACTCCAAGGGATTCGACGAGTTTCGTAATTCCCTCCTTGCTTTAGCCAACTCTACAAATCTATTAGCTTCCACATCATCTTCCTCATCACTAAACCATATTTGAACTGCATTAATTTTTTAAATTTTATAATAAAAGCAATTATTTTAAAAATGATGTAAATGAAACACTAAAGAAACAAATGTAAACAAACAAACAGCTGTTTACAATTCAGTTAACCATTCTCAATAGTACAAATTTTTATCGATCAAGTTACGCAATAGCAAAATAAAAGATGATCGACTCGATCGACAAATTTCTATTCTACTGCCAGTCGACACTCGCAATAGGGGCCTAAACTTCTATGGAAGAAACATGTGGATGAGACCACATCCAAGGCCACGAAAGCCTTAATGGTGTGTAAGCGTCTGTCGGGAAAATCCTGGGGTTGCAGCCCCAGGATCCTAAGATGGCTTTACACCATGATAGTACAACCAATAGTGACATATGGGGCAGTGGCTTGGGTTTCATGAACCACTCTAGCTACTGTGAGACAATCGCTCACTAAGATACGACTGGCATGTGTATGCATAAGGGGAGCAATGCGCACGTGTCGGACGACAGCGCTGGAAGTGGTCCTTGAACTCGAGCCCCTCTATATAACCATAGAACAGGTCGCCAAAAGAACTCTACACAATTTCGCTAGAGAGGGATACGGAAGAGGTAAGGTCATTTCCTAGGAACATGGCGAAGATAGTGTCCTCGCTCCCGCTAGCCCTGCTTCCGAGGGATGACATCTGTAGAACTATAGTTTTTGAAAAGAGATTCAAAATTAAGTTAAGCAGTAAGGCAACCTGGGATGCCTCCTCCTTTAAGAGACTCCTTCAGGAGAGTACACTGCAGTGGTACACTGACGGCTCGAAGACCCCGGAAGGAATAGGGGCTGGTATCTCCGGACCTAGGTCCAGGATCTCAATCCCGATGGGGAAATATCCGAGCATATTTCAGGCGGAAGTCTACGCCATCTACTTGTGTGCGGAGACCATCATAAATAGAGGATACCGTAATGAGAAAATTGTAATTCTTAGTGACAGTCAGGCGGCACTCAAGGCTCTTTTATCCTTTGAAACTAAATCATCTCTGGTCCTATAGAGAGGGTCAACTCCCTTGGTAGGCACAGCAACATCAAACTGGCATCATGGGTGCCTGGCCATATGGGAATGGAGGGGAATGAAGTGGCGGACGGTCTCGCTGGAGAGGCGGCAGCCATTACTCCGGTTGGCCCTGAGCCCTTCCTGGGAGTGGGGCCCAACACTATTAAGGAAGAGCTCACCTTGTCTACCTTGCGCAACCTAAGTGAAAACTAGCATCTAACCGTGGTTGCGCACGTTTGGCATTACAAGCTGCTGAGGCTTAGAAATAAAAGAGACTGATGCTTTGTATTTTGGCGTTTTGGAATGCAGCCGTAGTTTCATTTAATGACATTCGTTGTTGTTGTTAACCATTTAACTTTTAATAAAATTATAACATTTCATTAAATTCATGCTACCTGATCACGAGATGTAATAGTTTTTTCTTAAGTAGAAGATTTCATTATTCCACTCAAAGATTTCGAATATGATGAACCTGAAAATTAATGCATAATCTCAAAAATGGGGTTGACGAAACTAGGTTTCAGAACGGATGAAGAAAGTGATCAAAATTATACTTATGCTAATTGCTTATCGGAGGGCTGTCTGCGCAAGCCGAATTCAAGTTTTTTGCAAACATTGGAAATTTTAAATTCGAAATTTATTGAAGCTAATGGTGATACGCTAACCACAAAGCCAAATTTTTTGCAAAATCTGATGAGAAATTTAAAAGTAAATTTTCACGAATTTCATCAAGAATCACGAAAAAATTATTTTCCCAATTTGTTTTTGTTTTGCATGGTAAGTAATGAGATCAATTTATTCACATGGGATTGGCGATTATAAAAAGATTTTATTTGGAAAGAGCATTCTTTAGAATTAGATTTTTAAAACGCAAGACTGCATTCAAAATAAGAAAATGAAAAAATAACTACATAATGCTCTCGTGATTTTTATTATAAAATAAAGAGCAATTTCAATGAAGTCTCCTTTAACATTATACATTTTATATATTCTTAATAAAAAAAGGTGCGAACCACGTAAGTAAAAAAATTACCAAGCACTGATAATGATTTTTGATTTGAAATGTTATTAAATTGGTATAAATGTGGGAAAGAAAATACTCCGATATATTGTTTTAATATTATCAAAGTGGCAAGGCCGTTGAGAATACTCACAATTTATGAAACTTCGAAAAATTTTACTATCCGTCAAAAGTTGTTTATTGAAACTACCTTCTTTTTTGTATCATGCTCTAAATGAACCAATAATAAGGGTAATGAGTGATTTCAATGTTTTATGCAAAGTATACAATGTGAACATTTTTGACAGCCAGCAATAATGGAATGGGCATATATTTCTGTTGAAAACAAGGGGGCCTTGTGCTTTTTTAACAGAAATGTTCAGATTATAGAGTTGAAACTTTGATGACAGTTTTTTAATTTTCCTAAATTTTGTTATAAAGTTTCACACTATGACTTTGGTTAAACCTTGGAAGATATTTTTATAGAAAAATAACAAAAAAATTTAGCTCAAAAAACACTACTATTTAAAAAAAATCAACAAGTGGTTATTTGTTTGAGTCACTATATTTGCAATTATGTTTAATAAGGGGTTCGGTTTAGTTATTTGTACGATTTTGGGGTGCTGAGCCCAAACGCGTCACCCAAATCAAAAAACTTTTATACACTTGTAGACAAGAGTCTACGCTTTATTTGCTCTTTTTCGGCAACGCAGAAAGGTGAATTATACTTAGTGAGGGTTACAATAAATTTGCGAAAAATCTACGGCTCCTCCCCCTCCGCCACCTACCACCACAAAATCGTTGCCCAAATAACTTAACATTTCCCCACAATAAGTGTACAACTACCTTTTCTACTATTTCCTTGAAAACATCCGCGACACATTCATATCCTTTTGCAGATGCTTCCAGGAATAGAGCTCTATGTTTGCGCGCAAATTTGAGTCCCTCTTCCCGACTAATGATTCGCTCTCTGTCGATTTTAATCCCAACTACAATAGTGGCAATGTTAGGATTATCACTATAGTTTTCAAGCTCCGCAAGCCAAGTCTCCAACTTAGCCAAGGATTCACGGTTCGTGACGTGATAAACTAACACAGCTCCCAAAGCCTACAAGTAAAAAAAAAACAAAAATAACTTTTTTATTATGTACCAAATTTCACGAGACAAAATTTTAACTAATATACGATTTTATGTTATAAAACCTTTCTATAAAAGCTTGGAGTAAGACTCCGAAACCGTTCGGCACCAGCAGTATCCCAGAGAGCCAACTTATATTCAAGCCCATTAATATTCACCACTTTGCCCTTGAAATCCATTCCAATAGTAACATCGTAGTTGTCGTCAAATTTATCGTGTACGAATCGACGGATGAGGCTGAAGATAAAATTTAGCGAGTAATTTACATGCCAACAAGTAATGTAAAATTCTTTTTGCGACATCATCCGTTTCAGTTAATCTTCCTTTAAAGTACAAAACCGCGTATCGTCATTCTGTAAAACCTCGTAATTGACATTGGCTGCCAAAAATTGGATTTGCTCACACAAGCTCTTGGCTCAATCCTTATCCATTCGTCCTGAAATATACCCGCCAGAAATGCGATTGCTTTATAAAAAGACTCCGAAACCGTTCGGCACCAGCAGTATCCCAGAGAGCCAACTTATATTCAAGCCCATTAATATTCACCACTTTGCCCTTGAAATCCATTCCAATAGTAACATCGTAGTTGTCGTCAAATTTATCGTGTACGAATCGACGGATGAGGCTGAAGATAAAATTTAGCGAGTAATTTACATGCCAACAAGTAATGTAAAATTCTTTTTGCGACATCATCCGTTTCAGTTAATCTTCCTTTAAAGTACAAAACCGCGTATCGTCATTCTGCAAAACCGCGTAACTGACATTGGCTGCCAAAAATTGGATTTGCTCACACAAGCTCTTGGCTCAATCCTTATCCATTCGTCCTGAAATATACCCACCAGAAATGCGATTGCTTTATAAAAAAAAGAGAACCATTTTGAAATATGAGTGTTTTTACGCTCTGGCAAATAATTTCTACAACTTTACATACGCGGTTTTGCATTTTGCTGATACGCGGTTTTGCACTTAAAACGGTGTAATAATTTTGCCAGATTTCCTACCTTGATTTTCCAACACCGCTTTCGCCAATTATCAAGAGTTTTATTGTTCTATCATTCATGTCAACTATATAATTCAAAGATTCTATATTATATCAAAACAAAATAATATATTTATCAACCACAGTATATGGGCTCTGTCACGTCAGTAATTACCCCGATATTTGGATCGCGATCCATATTGATGGATTGATGGATCGCGCACGAATGCTACATGTTCAATATTTATCGCGTCAATATTGATATAAATTTTTGTGCTGAAAGCTTATTATAACGCAAGAAAATATTTTTATTTTGTACGTATAATTTACAGAATGTAAATGTACAATGTAAATTAAAATTTGTTTTGCAAGATTTTAAGCCCCGAGAGCGAAGGCAGAGCCGATGTTCGCATTATGAGAGTAAAAGATGTACTGACGAAATGTATGGATCGCGTTTTGAAAGTGCTACACGTTCAATATTTATTGATGGTATTGCGATCCGCGATCCAGATTTCAAAATTTTTGGAAATTTTGCGATATGGATCACGATCCATCAATACTGCATGCTACACCGTCAATAAATATCGAGATACTGGATCACGTCAATAAATAATGACCGTGTGACAGTGCCCTATACCTCGTATATCCAGTAAACAAACTTACCGGCCGTCTTCACGTGCTGGCAAATCTCGCTCGCATGACGACGCATGCGAGAAACCGCACGTGTAGACA